ATGTGCATGTATTTTTGGGCGTAAATCGGCTTTGGATTACGCGAACCAGGAAGCTGAAACTTTGGGAACATTGCTTTTTTCTTTGTAATAATCCCATAAGTTTAAATCAGACTCACAGCCTCTAACCCAGGTGCAAACTCTTGTCAGTCTTGTAACTTGAAAACCGAAGTTATGGCTTTTTAGCGTTCGTTGTAAAATTATAACTTTGGAGCTTTTGTCTTCAGCGTTGTAGGTGTTATTGACTACTCGAAAGTTGCTTTGTGCCTTTTTTCTATCTCAGACTTGTTTGTATTTTTCCAGTTAAGTAATACTGTTTAATTGTACTGTTCGAAGATGCTATATAAGCACTACCGAAGAAAGGGGAGAAATATGCTTTAATTTTAGCCTTCTTTTCGACAGAAATTTTCAACTCTTTTGCTAATTTTAAGTTAGCTTTTAACACATGTTGCTAAATTTGATATTTTTGGAAATATCTCTTGTTTTTAACAAAGTTTAGTAGTTTTTTGTTGATTTAACTAAATTTGCACCCATTTAATTAGATTTTTGCTTTTTAAGCTGGGTTTTCTACTCGTTCAGGTTGTATTCTGTGTTCTCTAATCAATTTTGCTAAATTTGGCAACCGTTTGATAAAATTCTGCTGCCTTTAATCTATATTTCGCATTTAGTTTAACAAAACTTCGCATTTCCTTAGCTTTTGTGTGCCTTCGGTGGTAAAAAAAATTTTCCTGCTTGGACAGAGTTTTTCAGAAAGTTAAGTTTTGGACCTTTAACTTTTTTCGCTTACCTAAAGCGTCGTTTTTTGTGCACATGCTTCACGCAAGCTTAAAACTGCTGCAAACAGTGGCCCATTGGCTAAGCGAAGAAGAAAGCAGCAGATCGTTTTAAAGTTTAGCAATGAAAATTTGTGATTATGAGGACTTGTTAGAGAAATGAATGTGAGCATAACTGTTTGCAAAGTAATTCTTGTATTCAGTAGTTCTGCCTTTTCTAGGAAAGCTAAGCGCCATACAAAGGCTTTTCTTCCTTACTTCTTGGCCAAATTGCGAAATAATGTGAAAAACGCTGTCTATTGTAGAAAGCAATACGAAGCATCTAAGAGTAATGTTGCAGGGATGAGTTGGTCAGTTCTGTGCCTTTTGGTCGTCATTTCCAATTGTGCAAATTCGCTGCAGAAAATTGTTGAAGGACCGACAAATACGAATGTCATGTTTGGTGGCACTGCACTTCTGAAATGTCGTGTTGAGGCCCAGGTTTTTTTTTTTTTGTCGACACCTGAAGTTAATAAATTCCCTATAAACTGTTCCTTCCTTCTGGAACAGCAGCACTAATTCCGTTAATTAATCTAGAAGAAATT